TTCATATTATATCCCTAATAACTAGAACAATGCCTGCCATTGAATAAATGTTTGTTCAGTGAATGTATTGGAATCTTATTGGTTAACCCCTCCTTATGTCAGGTGATGTTCTGAGTGATGCAATTAAAACCTGGAGTAAAAGGTCAATATGGGAAAACAAGAAGCGAAACACAAGGCAATCCGAGCAGGACCGGTGCAAGAGGGGAAGTGGGAAACGAGAATGAGAGGGCTGTCAGACATTCTAGCACATCCTGCCAGACAGAGTACCCTTGGACGCTTATAGACTAGTGAACTCTGAGGCCAGGGGAACAGACCAGGCAAGATTTCCCAGGTGCCACACAGTGGCTGCCATGGGAAGCCTCTTTCTGGATAAAACCTGCTCCAACAATCAAAGAAGCAAACCCTTCGGACAGGAATAAACTCTGTGCACATTGGCTAGAGCCATGTCAGCACTGACTTTTGCATAATAAAAAGTCAACAGTGCTAGTATTTGTTTATCTTTTCACTCGACTCTGAACTTCTAAAGGGAAGAGACTGATTCTCTATCATTCCATACAAAGTCTGCAGTCTTGGAGAACTTTTGAGAGAAAGATTGAAAGAAGGGAGAAGGAAAATGGATCATGACTCTCTTCTTGGCTATACCTAAAAGTATGGAGAGCAGTGTAATCAAAATTGTCCCTTTAAATCTTATTGATATATATCTTTTTTATATATTAAATGACCAACGGTTAAGACTTTGAACCCTCGCCGAAACCGGTTTGGCTGAGTGGATAGAGCATCGGCCTGTGGACTGAAAGGTCCCAGGTTTGATTCCAGTCAAGGGCATGTACCTTGGTTGCAGGCACATCTCTATCCCTCTCTCTTCCTCTTTGTAAAAAATCAATAAAATATATATATTTTTTTAAAAAGACTTTGAACCCAGTACTATCCATCGCTTCCCAGCTTAGAATGAACTCTCCCAAGCAGCAATCAATACACCCACAAATTTACACTTCTCACACAGAATGGCAACCAATACAAATAGGAAGTATAAATCACTGATGTAAAGAAAATTTTAATGAGCCATTAGTTCATGTAAATAGCTCCTTAATCTCTGCTGGGGCAAGATACCTCAATTTGCTCTAATTAGGAGTTTGACAACTTCTTAATTAAACAACTTTCCACCTAGAAAAAGGTGCCTCCAAGATTTTTCCCAATAAACTCTAAATTAATTTACAAACTAAGTGACTAAAACAGAATATTAAAACTGTTCTTCCAAATAGTTTTGGTCACTGTTCTATCAGTTTGTTCTTATTTATTTATTTAAAGTATACAGATCCTTCAATTTGGGTTTAATTGTGACCTGCTGACATTTCAAAGAAATTTCAAAGGAGGTTACCCTTTCTCAGAGCTTCTCTGGGCTGCAGCAGCATCCTGAGGTCATAAATACTCACTGTGGACTTTCCCCCTGACCTTGCAGTTTACCTCTTCAGTGTGTCCTACTCTGTGAATACTGAGAAAGAGCATTCTTTTTTTATTCTAAAAGACAAGTGTGGCTTAATACTGAGCATCGAGTAAAGTCTGCAAATGGAAAGGAAAAGCATGTATCATTAACCTCAGTTTGAATGTTGTTGGTGTCTCTGCCACACAAGTGTGGCGAAATGGCTCTGCTGGGAGAAACAGAGAGGTGGTTTCCCTCTGAGACCACACTGAAGAGCTTGTGTTTTGCCTCCTTTTCTTTTTCCCTCTTAAGTAAATGATTTTCTCAGGCAATAGAACAATGTTTTGATTCCAGGTCAGTAACACCCACCAAGAGTTACTCTGTGCAAGGAAAAAAACTCTATGTGACAGAAACCATGCTTTCTCTAGGGGGTCTGGTACATGTTTCCCTGAGTCTTGATCTCAAGTTACTGAAGACTTAGGTCAGTGTGGGTCTGATCAGTTAGCACACCCCCTTCTGGATATGCCACCTTACCTCTACTCTAATTTTCATCAAATAGCTACACCCTATTCTGTATCTCTAAAGCAATTTTGTTTCACACATTCTGGCCTTTCTTCCCTCCAGATTACTATGCAACAAATGTCAGGCAGCTTCTTGTCAATGAATTCCAAAATTAGCATGTCTAAAATCTACTTTTGAATTTTATTTGTTTCACCTTTCTTTGACTCAGCATAAATCTCTCTTCTCTCTCTCTCTCTCTCTCTCTCTCTCTCTCTCTCTCTCTCTCTCTCTCTCTCTCGTTTTTCTTGTTTGTCTCGCTAATTAGTTTCTTCGGTTACAGAAAAGATGGAAAGATCTAAGTTGGGGAGTTTTTAATACATGCCTTTTAAATAATGTACTAGAAGCCCCACTTTGAAGCTCCACTTCGCCAGTGTGTGTGTGGGGTGTGGGGGGGGGGGGAAGGGGCGGGGGGAGCATTAGGGAGACCCCCAAGATGGCAGTATTGGGTCCTCTCCCATATGTATATGTGTTGAGTGCGCCATCTGGTGGCTAAAATTACAGAAGGGAAGAAAACCTGAAGCTCCCAGGAAGACACACAGCTCAGGGTTGGGCTGGCTTCCCCTCTTAATCAAATCCTGGTCACTAAAGTGTTTGTATTTGAACTTTACTACTGCACAGGTGACAAATGTAGTGCACATTGTTAGGAGGCTCGTGGAAGACGTGATATTTAAGAAAAAGGACAAGGCTTTTAAGGCCTATTAAGGAAGGTGAAAAGTACTACTACAAAATTACTCTGGAAAGTAGGATTCTAAAAGTATAATAAGTGCTCTGGTTGAGTAAATAAATGAGATTCTTCTATGAATATGAGGAACACAAAAAAGTATTAACGAAAGAGAAATAAGAGAAAGTGTGGGAAGAAAATAAAACGGGGAGGCAGGAGAACACATGCTTCGTAGGTGGGTCAATTTTGACACAACCACTTATATGTGTGTGAGAGTAGGGAATGCATTTAAACTCCCTAGGCCTCAGTTTGTCGAGGGGGGATAATTCTACCTATCTCCTAGGGATATTGGGAAGATTAGATAGAAGAATATATGAAAGTGCCAAGCCCAGAGCCCATCTAAAAATGCTCAATAAATGATAGTTGTTATTAGTAAGGAGAATAGAAAGAAAAGACCTTGAAAGGGATAGCATAGAACACACTAGGCTTTGAGAAAGGAAATAATATCCAGGACTGTATAACAAGCATGCCAAACTCAAAGGCTAACGTGGGCCAAATAAACAAGTTTAAAAAACAAAAGCTTCAATTTTCATAGAAACGTAGGGTTTTTTTGTTTTTTGTTTTTGATAGATCGTGCTGAATACAAAGGGCTGAAATAAATGAGTAATATTTAACTTAGGATAATTTTTAAATCAAAATTAATATTTTCTCTTGAACATTAACTTACCAGACACTGAATAACTGCACAAATTAATAAGCATAATGCAAACAAACCAATTTTTCTTGTTCTCCAAAAGTGAAATATTTCCTGTTGAGCACACCAAACAAGCCAGTCCAAGACTAATGATGTGGCAATGGGCTGCTAAAATATTTGCTGCTAGATTTATCGGAAAGAAACGGTGCACCTGCGCGTAAGATACGTAAGAGAAATGAATGCAACATGATTATAGTAATCAGTCATTAGCAAACGTTGTAGTTTGTTATTAATAATATTGTGAAAATTAAGTTACGAATTTTTTATTAAAACGTTTCTCACATACCGTTATATTGGCTGGGCTGCAAAAATACTCATTGTGGGCCGCATGTGGCCTGCGGGTCACAAGTTTGACACGCTTGCCGTATAACTTAGCACAGGCATTTGATCAACTTAAAGGGTGGAGCCCATGAAAGGAAACACCTTCTCTGTCTGGACAAAGAGTCTGTGTCTGAAGCCCACCTTTGTTGCTACAGTCACAAGAGTCTGTGAGGACTCCAGAGCAGGGCCTTCCCTCTGGGCACCCCTTGATCCCCAAGCTGTGGCTGAGTGCCTTCCACTCAACCCCCTATGGGTCTTCAATTCCGTGCTGGAGCTTATGTGAAGGAAAGGCATATGACCCATTGGAGATAGGCTGACCAAGGGGTAGCAACCGAGGACCAGGCTTTATTCTGTGAGAGTCACCATTGGCATGGCCTAGTTTGCAAAGAGCATTCTGAGGACCCTGGCTCACCACAGTTTGTGGCAATTCATACCAATGGAATTCTCTTAGAAACTCTGGACAAAAATGTTTGTGTAACTTGAGGCACCTTTCCACCCATCTGAAAGCTGAGTCCCTATGACAGACCCAGCAGGTGACACAGAGAGCTACCTCAGTCTCTTCTTTGGAACCTGATATGGCTATTTCGAAGGATTGTCTAAAGCCCTATAGATAACTGAAGCTTTTGGAGAGCAAAATACTGTACCCCACATACACACACACACACCACATACACATACACACATACACACACACACACACACACACAGAGATACACTCATGCCTCTAAGGAAGGTCTTAGCCCACCATTCCTAGGCAAAACCCAGAACTGTGCCCCTCCCTGATGCAATAGCTGACAGGTCTCAGGGGAACAACAGCTATTGCCTACATTTCTAACCTTTTACCAGCTTCCTTCCATGCCAAGGAGAAAACTAGGAGCAAGAATACAGTAATATGATCTCCAATTAGCATAAAATAAAAACAACCCAGTCATGTTTTCCACAGGCCTTTCCAACCTCAAACTAAATGCATAAAGCAGGGAGAAAAAGATTAAAAAAAAAAATCCATGGAACTATGAATATATATACTATCTCCGTGTGTACGCCAAGCACCCTGACCCAAATGATTATCTGTCTCTAGGAAAACCAAGCAGCCAAATGCAGAAATCTGAGAATTTTCCCGTCCCAAAGTGCAGCATGAGCACAGACGGGAAGGGAGAATATCCAGATTACTCGGTGTGGAAGGGGTTAAGTCCTCAGCCATCCTATTCTAAAGTGATTTATGATGATGGGTAGTGTTTCAAAACTTTCCCCCACCCAAAGAACAGCCCTCTCCCTCCTCACCGAGTGGAGTCCACTCTCAACGTGCTGAAATGGGAAGGAGGCGGTGTTTTGCTGATCTGTTAAATTCTTAGTGAAGTTTCCTTGATTTCCAGTGGCTGCTGTTGTTTGAGTTTGGTCTGGATAAAAACTGAGGTTGTCCTGGCATTCCTGGGACTGAATCCAGGCCAGAGGAAGAAGAAAACGAAGGAGAAGGAAAAGAGGAGGGGAGAAATAAAGGGAGGAGAAAGGCACAGGAGAAAAGAGAAAAAGCCTATTTTCAACATCACATTCCTGTGTTTTCCCTCAGCCTGGAAAACATATTAATCCCAGTGCCTTTCCGCTCGGAAACAAAGGGACTGAGCCAGACTGTGGGGGAAAGGGTGATAAGAAGGATCCTGGAACTCTGAAGAGAGCAAAGAGTGAGACTCAGGGGCTTCCTGTCTGTCCACACAGGGACTGGCACACACAGAGACAAGACGACCCAGGAGAAACTGCAGAGAAATGGAGATGCAAGGACCTAAAAGGACAGCTCCCGTCACCACCTCACCCTGCTTGTCAAGAAGGTAAAGAGACAGTCTGAAAGAGAAGCAGGGAGCCGCTGGCTGAGCCCTCGGGTCAGGACAGGCGACTTCGGGAGCTGGAGCTGCAGCGCGTGTGCCCCAGCCTCGCAGAGGAGACAGAGGGTTTGGGAGGAAAGGCATTTCGTCTAGGAGACTGTCCTGGGACCACACTTCAGCTTGCCTGTGAAACCCTCCGCATTCCATCTCCATGAGCCACAGTGTAAGTGTGTAATCCCTTCTGCCTTCGGTGTGATTGCTTCTTTGTTGCTTGTTTGAAGGACTGAAACGAGGTTCTTGCCATAATTAATACGCTCCGTGTGCATTTTCTCCGGAGCATCCGAGAGTCAGATGAAAGGGTGAGAGCCCGCTGAATGGGGCACCGAGTTGGGTTTCCTGCTGACCATAGTTGCCTCTGCTAAGTGCTGACAAATCAGAGGGGCTTAAACGTAACAGGATCTCACCCTGTTTTCCATTCCCTGACCTCCCTCCTTATTCTTCCCTAACCGCCCCTTCCCCCCAGGCGTTGGCCCACTTGGAGAAAGGGAACATGCCGCCCAGCTGTTTGCAATTAAATAATTTTCTTTCTTTTCTCCCCTTCCTCTCCCCTTTTGTCTCGGACCTCGCTGCCGCCTCTCCCAGTGGACTGCACCATGACCTGGAGAATGGGACCCAGCTTGGCCATGCTGGTGGCCATGTGGCTGGTGTGTGGGTCGGAACCGCACCCCCAGGCTGTGAACAGAGAGAGCCACCAGGGATGGCAGAAAGCGCCCCCTGTCTACCACAGGAGGCCACCTCGGCCGCCGAGGCAACCGCCGCAGAGGCAACCGCCACAGAGGCCTCAGAAAACCCAGAAGACCCCGCTGGGAGAACTGCACCCTCAGCCTCTCCTGAGAAGGCGCGGCGGTGTGCCAGTGCTGCGGATAGCTCCCCACGAAAAGGCCCCGCCGCCAGCCCCGCTGGACCTTCACGGTGGGGCCCTGCAGGGGAGAGCGGAAAGGAGGAGGCCAGCAGCAGCAGCAGCAGCCTTCTCCCGGCCTTCTCCCCAGGACATGGTCCGCGATGAGGGATCCTCCGCCCGGTCCAGATCGCTGCTGCGCTTCCCCTCCGGGTCCGGCTCCCCCAACATCCTGGCCAGCTTCGCGGGCAAGAACCGCGTGTGGGTCATCTCGGCGCCGCACGCGGCGGAGGGCTACTACCGCCTGATGATGAGCCTCCTGAAGGACGACGTGTACTGCGAGCTGGCCGAGCGCCACATCCAGCAGATCGTGCTATTCCACCAGGCGGGCGGCGAGGCCGGCACGGTGCGCCGCATCACCAGCGAGGGCCGCGTGCTGGAGCAGCCGCTCGACCCGGGCCTCGTGCCCAAGCTCATGGGCTTCCTGAAGCTGGAGAAGGGCAAGTTCGGCATGGTGCTGCTGAAGAAGACGCTGCAGGTGGAGGAGCGCTATCCCTACCCGGTCCGGCTGGAGGCCATGTACGAGGTCATCGACCAGGGCCCCATCCGCAGGATTGAGCGGGTCCGGCAGAAGGGCTTCGTGCAGAAGTGCAAGGCCTCGGGGGTGGAGGGCCAGGTGGTGGCGGAGGGCGCGGAGCGGGCTGGCCCCAGCGCTGAGAAGAGGAAGGAAGAGCTGCGCAGGGTGCATGTGCCACCGACCAGGGATAGTCGGGGGAAGGTGCCCAGGAAGCCGGCCACCACCACCACCACCAGCACCACCACGGCTGCGCCCCCGCCGCCACCCCCCACCCCCAGGGCCACCACCCTGGCCCCGGCTCCCGCCCCCACGGCCACTCGGGCCACCGCGCGGGTGGTCACTGTGGCTGCGAGGCCCACGACCACCACCACGGCGTTCCCGACCACGCAGAGGCCCTGGACCCCGCGGCTGCATCCTTTCCCAGATGCCCACAGGCCCCCGGCCACGGCCACAGAGGTGACCACTGCCCGGGGGGCCGTGGCCTCGGAGAATCTCTACCCTCCGCCCAGGAAGGAGCTGCCCAGGGAGAGGCCGCCGCCGCCGAGCACCAGGAGGCCCCCCAGCAAGGCCAGCGGCTCCGAGGGCCTCCCTGCCTCGCCTGCGCCCACAGGGGCGCACGGCACCAGGGCCGGGCCCAGCCGCTCCAGGGACAATCGCACGGACCGGCGGGACCCGGCCGTGGTGGTGCCAGGTCCTTCCAAGCCAGCCAAAGGGAAGCCCCCCAAAAAGAAAGCGCAGGACAAGATCCTCAGCAATGAGTATGAGGACAAATACGACCCCAGCCGGCCCCCCACGGCCGCCCAGCTGGAGGAGGAGCTGCAGGCGGGGAACGTCCCCCCGCAGAAAGCCAAGGAGGCCAAGAAGCACGACAAGCTGGAGAAGCCCGAGAAGGAGAAGAAGAAGAAGGCCAAGAGCGAGAAGGCAGACAAGCTGCTCAAGAGTGAGAAGCAGGCGAAGAAGGATAAGGCGGAGAAGAAGGGCCGGCCCGACAAGGAGAAGAGCAAGAAGAAGAAGACAGGCCCCGCTGAGCAGGACGGCCACCACCTGAAGCCCACCTCCAGGTACCTGCCGCCGAGCCCCAAGAGGCTGGTGGCCGACCTGCTGGGCTCCTTCGAAGGCAAGCGAAGGCTCCTCGTAAGTAACCTTCTCCTGGACATTGTGCTGGGGGCTGAGCGGGGATTTGGTGTGTTGTTGTTTTTTTCTGAAACCACATTGCTGGCCCTGGCTGCACCTGTGCGGTGTGCAGAAGATGGGGAGGTGTGTCGGGGCAGGGCGGCCCGGCCATCAGCCCCTTTGGGTTTCGATGCTCTGTGAGCCTTTCACACACAGACTCAGAGCCTTGGCGAGGGGGACCTTAGACATGAGCCCAGGGAAGCACCGGTGGCCGGCTTCCTCCAAACCCATCAGGACCCATCCCTCATCTCCATGGGATAGTTCTGGATACAGCTCCATTTTACTAAGTTCAGTGAATAACAACAGAATGAAGAAGTTCCTAAAATGGTATGCATTGACTCCGACACCCTTAGGAAAAGGGTTTCCCTCTTTATGATCTGAGAAACCAGAAGCATGGGTATGGGGAAATAAACAAGGTTTCTCCTCTCTCCCCCTATTAGGTCTCTATCAAGAATTGGGAAACACAAAGGGGAGAGTAAGGCAGTCCTGGTGGAGAGTAGGTGTGACTGGGAGTGGGGAAGGGCCCTTTTTGGTGTGGCCCTCAGGAATGTTTTTAGATCAGTGGTCTGAAATCTTCATCCCTTTATCGAAAAGGCTTTTTCTTCGATTACTGCCCAACCAGTAAGAGGCCAAAAGGATGGAGTGTGAGGAGCTGGATTAGCTGCTCTAATTTCCAACACCCTAAAGACACATATGAACGTGGAGTCCAGATGTCAGTTGCCCTGAGACGCTATAAAATGAACATGAATGTGTGTGTGTGTGTGTGTGTGTGTGTGTGTGTGTAAGGAGACAAGCAGTCCTTACTTCCACTTTGTCTCTTTTTCTGAGTGCCAGTAGGACTGAGTGAGTCACAGTTATTATACATCTCAGTAGCTATCTATTTGCCATTACTTGCCACCATCCAAAGAATAACAACAGCGTTTTGTCAAACCCCAGAAAAAGGGCTTCAGACAGGAATTAGCTCATCGTAAAGGTAAAGGCATTTCTCATCAGCAAAGGGAACATGGTTTAATCTGCTCTCCAAGTCTCCTTACCCACTCTTCTAGTGCCCTTCCAGGATTTTATCCCTAGCTTCTTAATGTTGCATTCTACTCCAGGCTGTCCATGAGGAAAAGAGTACTATATAATTTAGGGGAAAAGATCAGGAATTAATGTTGGGTGATATGCATCAAGAATGATGCCCTCAGGTACCTGGGTGAGTCTGAGGATATCATCTATCCTACTGAAGGCACAAGGTGACTCCACACCCTGTGTTTCTCCACCAAACAAGCTAGGCATTCTTCTCTCAGGGCATTGGTCAGAGGGTTTTTTTATGTTTTTTGTGTTTTTTTTTCCAATCTGGCCTAAATTTTGATTAATCATCTGAGCCAGAGAGACTCTGCTACCCATCTAATCTTTAGTGGTTTTCAAAGCTTAAATGTGCATTTGAAGTGTAATTTAGAGCAGAGTCCCTTGTGGTATTTATCATGGGTGGGGCATGACCTTAAATTCTCTTAGCTGTCCCATCAATGGTGTATTTATGTGGTAGGACAAGACCTATGTTTTTATTGATTCTACAGGTTTTGTGTATGTGTTTGTGTGTGTGTGTGTGTTATTTTTTTGTATGTTGTTACTTGTTTTAACCAGAGCCTTAAAGTAACTATATAAACTAAGGGTAGCAGAAGATAGGTTGCTAGAGTAGTTTAACAGCTACTTGGTTATTCCCAGAATATATAAATTTGAATAGAAAAGTTCCAGTAGAATCAAAAGAATCACTGATTTCAGAGTAGAACCCTACCTGGTACTTAAATGTTTTGCTAGAGAACCCATGGGGGAGAAACTGCACTCTTTGGGCTGGGAGAAAGCATTAGTGGTGTGCTCTGTTGCCCTCATCCTGAGTACCTGGGACTTGGTCCAGCCTGCTAAAAGACATCACCCAATCCTGCCATTTAGCCAACAAGGCAGGCAAAGTGTTCCTTGTGGTCAAGTTTTAACCAGGCAAAAAATAATCATGGGTAAACTGTCAGGATTATAATTGTGCACCTATGGGTAAATGCTTCCATTAGTCAAAAGAAAAGAGTTTTTATACATATCCCTAGTATTAGTCATGCCTTTTATTACCCTCCCTTTCTCTCCACTCCCTTAGTCAGAGATTTGAAAGCCCAGCTGGGTCTTTTCTGCTTTTAACAGTAACCCTGATCATAAATTTCTAGCAAATGAAACTCAGATGACAGCTTCTGCTGATGTCATGTGAGGCAAAACAGAAAGCAGCTGGAATTGCTCATGGCAACGTGGCTCTTGGTGGCTGGTAAGAGGACTGGGTTTGTTATTACACAGAAAGCCCCAACAAGAGGCATTTCAGTCTTATAATGCCCGTGTGCTCAGCTGATGACTATATCTAAACTGTGTTTTCTAAATAGCCAATGACATCTAAAATAAGAATAGATTAGAAAAGACAAGATGAAATAAACATGATGCAATATCAAAAGATGGAGAGAAGAGACTCTGACCAGAGAGTGAAGAGACCCGTGTTTCTGGGTGAAAAACAAAATTGGTGACATTGATCATTTTTCCACTCATTTTCCCTACCCAACATGGCTGACGTTATTCTGGAAGCTGGGGATTCAATTAATATTCTTTAAGGCTTTGCATTTTGTTCAAGTTCAGCTGACATCATATACATCTGACTGGCCTCTGACTAACAGGTGAGCTCAAACTTGAATGAGGTTTGAATTCCAAGAAACTGTGCTGGCCTTTGAGCTTATCTTCCCAACGTTTCAGTAACCTGGTACCCTGTTACAATTTATCACAAAACTCCAATGCTTTGCATTTATTAATATCATTTTTAGATATGAAAACATCACATACCCTCTACTTAATAAGTAATTAGTTAGAGAAACACTAGCAGCAATGGTATAGGTTGTGGCTGGGTGAACAGCATCCTAGAAGCCTTCAAAGGGGCTACACCCAGGTGGGTCTGAGGTCATTTCTTCAAACCCACTGCCTCTCTCAGTCTGTCAAAGAAAAGGGGCACATCCTGCCAGCAGCTATTTGTGACTGTGCAGTTTAATTTCTCATGACAATCCCGTGAAGAAAGACTTAACTCCATTTCACAGACAAGAAAACAGAAGCTTAAAGAGGTTGAGGCTCCCAAAGTGAACAGTTATTATATGGCAATGCCAGAATTAGAACTCAGGTATGTCTGACTTTAAAGCTCATGCTCAAGCCACTCCCCCATTCCTGTGAAGTGACTATGGGGCATATGCCATAAAGTGAAGGGGAAACTTCCCTGTTTATTATTTGAACACAGATATTTAAAAATTCATTTCACACCTTAAATTACTCAGATAAATGGTAAGGTGTAGCAGTTGTCAACATTTGTGCGAAGCACCAATGTAGAATTTCTGCCTTGAATACCCAGCTAATTCTCTGCACTTCAACTGGCTGGCTTTCCCGGCAGTCAATCAAGAACAATAGATTGAATCCCAGTTAACCTAATCCCTCAGACTGGCTGGTGTCAGTGTGGGGGTGTCAATGGTGAGAATATAGATAAGCTGTTTATCACTTAAACATTGGACTATGTGGAGTGTAGCTGTCAAACCATCATTTTTTTACCAAGGATCTACCAATTTGTCAATTAAGAAGAGGCCTCGTAGTGCTGAATTGGAGAGATTCAAGTTCAAGGTTAAGCATTCTTTGAAGCTCTGGTAATTCAGGTGGGTTATACTTTCAGCCTTACTTCAGAAATCTGGATATTCGAATAGCAATATACTTAATTAATTTAATTTTAGAAAATAATATAAAGCTCTGGTTTACTAAGACAGACTACTACCTTAAGGACTATATTCCAGAATTTCATGAAAACCTAGTGTTTTTAGCCCAACACAATATATAGAATGATCTGAGACTTAAAATACTTCCTCCCTAGCTTTTCCCATTCCTGTTCGCTCCATTTATTAATGTAAACTGGCTTCATTATACTCTGAGGCTCTTTGTGCCAATACACTTTTGGAACGGAAACATAAAAAAGTACCACAACACAGTTCTAAACTTAAGAGACTTGCCCTGATTTATCGCCAATAAACTAGAAAGAAGCCAAGTACCAGGCAATAATGAGAAGTCCTAGGATGCTCTCTTTAGGAAGAAGGGATTGGAAATGGTTACCATTTTAAGTACTGCTTGAAATATTGCCAAACTAGAAAATTAATTGGATGGAGATGTCAAAACACAGAAAAAGAAACCTTAAAATATATTCAGATGATCAGCCTCTTCTACTTTCCCTGATGTGAACTTGATGAACAGATTAAACCAGCTGGTTTGTGGGCTGCAGCTAGACCCTCATAGGTAGGGGACCACTGTGTTTCTGAGTCACTCCCCTCTCCTGGCTGGAATGATCCATGTAACCTGGGGGATGTGGGCCAGAGTTTGCTCTCCTGAAAACCATGGGCACAGCAGTGGTAGGGCCTGGGGCTTCAGGGCCATGAAGTTCTGAAGGCCCTAAGCATAAGCATAAAATATAATAGTGAATCAAGGCAATTCATAAATTCCAAGTGAGCAGGGCAGACTCTAAGAACAGTAATGAAAAAGAAAAAGTGATCATTGAGAAATAGAAAAGACTGTAGGGAGGATGCTGCATTTGAAGAATGTCTCAGCATCAGATACGTTGGAGGGGACCAGAGGGTTTTCTGGGTGGGATGAGCAAGATAGGCCAAGGCAGAGGAAGGAATGTGGGTGAACTATTCAGGGGTGACATACAAGTATGGTACTTGGGTACATACAGCCTTACACGCATCTTTTTATTTATTTTGTTCAGTTTTCTCATTATTTTGTGAGCTTGGCAGGGAAGTTGTTTCAGGGTAAAGATGAGAAAACTAAGTAAGGTTCAAAAGGTTAAATGACCTTATTAAGTCTACATGGAAGCCAGGGGTTGAATAAGGATTAAAATGCAGGCCCTCCAACTTTGACTATAATCACCATTTCTCTGTGCCACTCTGCCAAGATTTCTTTCATGTTGTAATTTGGAATGGTCTGGCTATGGGTGAAGAGGGCACATAAAGGAGAGTAGGAAGAAAGGTTAGCAAGAGAGAGCCTAGGGCAAGATCATTGAGTGCCAGGAACTGGGAAATGAGTCATGAAAGATGAATGTCACCTCCCACATGGGTTAAGGCGCCCTTGGGCAAAGGTCCCAAGGTGAAAATAAACATTATTAGAGCTTCTGATTTATTACAGTGTGATTCCTATTGGATATCCATTGGCCTAAGATTACTGTTTTCACAGATCTCTGGGAGAAACTTCCAGATGGGAGGATGAAGTTCTGTATATATCGTGTGAAATTCTCAATTATCTGGTGTGTACAAGGGGGAGAAGACCAGAGAGCATTTTGAAGACTCTTGAAATCCTGTCATATCATGGTCTGTCCATGGACTTTAAAGGTTCATGACAAAATAGATGAATAAAATGGAGTCTATGTATGGATTTGAAATTATAGAGGCAGGTAATTATCAGTCATTTAGCCTCTGAGCAACTGGGCCCTAGATACTCCTCTAAACACATTCTAAACATGGGCTTATCCTTCATGGAGTCCAAAATCATAACCAGTAAATCTTACCTTTGTTTTGACTATTTTGTGTTCTCCCTTAAACATTCACTTTATTTATCTCAAAATAAATAGTGTATTTATAAGCAAAGAATAACCAGCAAGGAAAACATAAAACATCCCAACTGAAAATAAAACTCCCAAGATTTGGGTTACCATAAACACCTAAGCAAATATTTTCAGATGTCATATAGCTAATTAAAAACGAACAAACAATCCCCAAATGCCATTACTGTCTCTTTTTATAGCCACCTTAAGTCTTTTTTAAGGCTAAGTAGAATCAATGAATAAATTTGATTATTTTTCCTTTTGGAAAATTACATTTCTTAAACAAACATATTCTACCCATCATGTCCAATGGAACAGGCTTATAAACACAAAATAAAAAATAAATGAAATCATGTCTACTTAAAATAAATAACAATCTGAGAAAGTGATATAACTATCCCAGAAAGCCTTTGTTAATGTTCCACCCTAAAATTATTGCACACATCTTGATTTCCATGAGGAATAATATTTTGTCAAGCATAGGCAATTCTTAGAAGGGAAAGCCTACAGGAAGCAATAAACATCTCTGACGGAGAAAAATAAACAGCAGAATCAAGCTGGGACTAGGCATTAACCATTTTGAGAAAGAATTTGAAAGAACGTCCCCCCTGAGAAATGCCATGTGACAGACTTCAGAATCATTTCATCAGGTTAGATGGGCAAGTAGAGAAGTGGCTGATATATTTGAATGTCGTCAAATGGGATAACATGTATAGAGGCTGACTTCTAAGCCCAGCGATGAGTAAGCAAATGATTAGACAGTGTTCATAGCAGACATCAGCCATCGAATGTTCCAGAGTGCTCACGGCCTGGCTATGAAATTCTCTCAACCCTGTGAGACATGAAATAATAGTAGTAACCACTCAATTCACAAATGTCAGAGCAGCCAATTAGGATAAGGAAGATTTGCCAAGCAATTTTTACATGTCAAGTATTTATCAAGTGTCCACAACAGCCTTGAACAATTAGTTCTGCTGTGCAGAGTTCACAGGTGAGAAAACCAAGACACATGGGCACTAGTAAGGAATGTAAAGAGTAGAAATGAGAGAAAAATCTAAGCTTCCTGGAGCCATTTAAAAATAAATACCCTTTACAAACAGTCTTTTGGCCCTGATTATGCTAACTGTCCAATTGAATCATATAGTCTAGTTTAGTTTAGCTTAGCATAGCTTAACTTAGTTTAATTTAGTTTTGGTGTCAAGTCACTACCAACCCTCTATTCCAAGTTATCCCTTTGGATTTTGCCTCAGTGTAAAACTATCGGTATGAATTAATATTTGCTTGCCTTCACTCACCTCTAGCTGATCACCGCTCCTAAGGTTGAGAACAACATGTATGTGCAACAGCGTGATGAATATCTGGAAAGTTTCTGCAAGATGGCCACCAGGAAAATCTCTGTGATCACCATCTTTGGCCCTGTCAACAACAGCACCATGAAAATCGACCACTTCCAGCTAGGTTCTCTTAACTATTTTAATTATATTGTTGTTTTTCTCTTAGCTAAGGTGGGACATATTGTATGGGAGAGGTCAGTGGGGAATCACAGAAAACTTCAGATATCCAGAGGGCTCTTTCCTTTGGCAACAAAGTTTAGTTGTGCCTAATTTTTATTTGCATACCATTTCTGATGGTTCTGGTTTAAGTTTCTGACACTTTAAATGAAAAATATGCAAGTACTCTATGGTTTGAAAGCCAGTAAGGTGGAGAAAAAAGAGAGAAGTAATACAGCATGGGGAGAACCAGAGAGGTATTCAGAAATTTTCTTCTGGATTCTGGGTCTTCTTGCCTGTGAGTAGCATCATCTGATCTTCCTGCAGCCTTCATGCTGCAAGCAACTCACTCACAGATGGGAACCTGCCAGACCCTTGAACTACTTGAGTCTGGCAAGGCTGGGGAGGGAATTAACCAGGGCTGAAAGAAGCTGTTAAGATAAATGAAAAGTCACTGAAATGTAGACTGAACTATGCCCAAGTCCTTTTGGAGAGCAGAAGAATTTGGCTGAATGTAGAGTTTTCGCAATTTTCATATTAATGATGCGTGTGGGACTCTTGAAGTGTCATTGGGCAGCTGACATCTAACTCATTGCGGTTCCCCTGGGATCATTGAAAGACTTACTGGGAGTAGTTAAGCCTCAGAGTCAGAAGCCCCAAATCTGCCCCACCCACTTATTCTCTAATTATTACATCTCCAGGGCCTTAGTTAGTTAGTAAGTTAATCCTCAGCTGAGGATATTTTTCTATTGATTTTTTAGAGAGAGTAGAAGGAAGAAGGAGAAACACAGAGAGAATAACATGGATGTGAGAAAGACTCATCAATTAGTTACCTAGAGGGCCAGTGATCGAGCCTGCAACTGAGGTGCATGCCCTTGACCAGAATCTAACCCTAGTACCTTCAGTCCAAGGGCCAACAATCTATCCACTGAGCCAAACCAGCTACAGCAGCTAAACCTTTTTCTTACGTGCTTTGTGTACTTTTTTATTCTCATTTAACCATAAAGAAAATACTTCATATTCTACCATTTATATATTCTGTATGTTTTTCATAAAATACATTACATCTGAAAACATCTGAAAGGATGTAAAAGAGACTTTCCCCACTAGTTAACATTTAACTTCAATACATATAACACACTAGCTCACAGATTTTTCTGTCATGTGATCTTAGTATAATTGAACACATAGTCATAATTATGCCATGATAATGTCAATTTGATTTTTAATATGGTCTAGCTTTCTAAGTCATATTTTTATTGTGGTAAAAACACAATATGAGATCTATCCTCTTACCTGATTTTTAAGTTCATAGTACAGTATTGCTAACCTTAGGCCAGTGGTCAGCAAACTGCAGCTCGAGAGCCACATGTGGCTCTTTGGCTCCTTGAGTGTGGCTCTTCCACAAAATACCACAGCAAGGGTGAGTCTATTTTGAAGAAGTGGCATTAGTAGAAGTTTAAGTTTAAAAAATTTGGCCCTCAAAAGAAATTTCAAACGTTGAATTGTTGATATTTGGCTCTGTTGACTAATGAGTTTGCCGACCACTGCCTTAGGCACGTGTTGTACAGTAGATCTCTAGAATGTATTCAGGTAGGAAGTTTCAGTTATATGTTTTCTTTCATTAGCCCACCTTATACTCCTGACATGGATCCAAAGGAAAATTAAATGCTTCCTTCCCAATTTCCCACCCTAAACCACTGTGGATCAGTGATTTATCTGTGGAGGTGCTATGTATGTGTGTGTGTGTTTGGCAAGGGGAACAATTAAATGTCCTTACCTTAACTGAAACAACAAGCATACAAACAGGAGACACCAAAGAAGTTGTGGAGTCAAACAAACCATTTTAGAAACACAGTCACTGCCTCTTTGTGGTGAGAACATCTTGGGCCAAGCCACTCCCTAATTCTCCGCTTAGAACATAGTTTATATTTCCAGGCTGCGGTGAGGATTTAATGAGGCAATGTATGTAAATAGCCGTCACATAACGAGCACTATTACTGTGGTCATCATCACCACTGTTGGTTCTGGCAGGCATCTGGAGATCAGTGAGCTATCATGGAGAGTAGAGCACCTCTAATTGAAAAATACTTGTAATCATTTTCTGCTGTTTACAGAATGTTGACAGTGAACCCTCACAACTGCTCTGCAAGGTTAGGCTGTATTACTACTCCTGGTGATAATACCCAAAGGCATACGTTCAGTGGTTAACTGGGATTCAACCATTTGCTTCCTGGATTTTCAAATAGTAGCATGAGCCAGAGAGTTCAATTATGATCCAGATGTCTGGAGAGGAAGTAGGCATTCAATCCGGTGCAGGAATGGGTTCTGGCTGGTGATGAAAATCCTTCCCCAGGTGTTCCCAATGTCAAATGTGTTAACCACAGACTCTCACACAAAGAATTCTCATGCCTTATTTGAGGGATGTTTGGGAAATTATTATGTCTCCTACCTCAACCTCTATATGGTTCCGCTATAAGCATCTGGTGGTACCTTGGCAAAATGTTAGCATTAATCCTGCTGCTTTCCAGACATCTGGACTGAATATGAACTGTAGAGGGACTGAGGTTTTCTTTTTTGTCCTATTGAAAATCAGGTATGGTGATTTGGCCATTTGCCTGTCACTGAATGGCAGCTTGGACATGGTTTGGAGTGCTTTTATCTTGTTCCTCACTTAATTCCTGGAAGGCCTTTAAGTCTTTGTGTCATGTCCCAGGTTACCCTTATGAGAAAGGCCATAGTACTTTCAGCCAAGTCTGGGAGTGAGCCATGGGAAAGTAGGAATTGGCGTGTTCATGGTCTCAGTGAACCAAACTCCAGCCTTGACCGATTTTCAGCTGGAAATATATCAGATGGCCTTACTTTCCTTAAAAATAAATCAAGCACTCTGTACTCTTCCAGGATTTTACTGGACCTAAAAAGCAGAGACCCACATATAATTCCAATGTGAGCTGTCCCCCCACATGCTCCTTCTTCCTACATGTATGTGAACTATAGATAACAGACCTATGAATACCAGGAAACTTACCTGAAGATTTCAAGCATCAGCTTAACAAACTTATCCAGGCTTGAGCAAATTCCAGTGCAGCATAAGCCCATCTGCTTTTGCCAGCCCAGAGTGCTGTATGGGAGGATTTAGAATGACCTAACACATAAAAGCATTCTTAATTGCTAGTGGCATTTAAAATGTTGATGAAGGCCCTTGCTGGTTTGGCTCAGTGGGACAGAAAGGTCTTGGGTTCGATTCCAGTAAAGGACACATACTTGGGTTTCGGGCTTGATCTCCAGTAAGGGGTATGAAAAAAGCAGCTATCAATGATTCTCTCTCATCATTGATGTTTCTATCTCTTTCTCCTCTTCCTTCCTCTCTGAAATCAATAAAAATATATTTAAAAAAATAAAATAAAATAAAATAAAACATAGATCTAGGATGGAATATGGAATTCAGAGGTGAATTTCTTTTTAAAAAAATCCCAAACTTTTATGAGTATAAAAGAATACATTTCACCATAAAATGCTCTCTGATTTTGATCCCGTTGAAGACAAGTTTCACTACTGCCAGGATCCATAAAAATGCAGAAATGCTGCTTTCTCTCAAGAGTACCTGAAAAATTGACCCTTTGCCCCAACTCCTCCTTTCATCACTGGTGACACAGTCTGGCAGCTGCCTTCTCTAGACTCTGTCACCCCGTGCTGAGAGGCCAGGCTGGGTGAGTGAGCAGATTTCCAGACACTGGCTGCAGTGTCCTTCTCTGTTTATTTAATCTTGATTATCAATCACTCTGTGCCCTAGAGGCTAGAGAGACTATCTCCTAACTTGTTTAGTCATCCCATTCCACTGCCCTCAGCTGCCCCTAGCATCCAGTGTATCAGTGTCAAGATCAGCCCCTGACAATCAAGACCTGTAAAGTACCTCATAAGTCAAATGCTTGAAGTGGTAGAAGAATATGGTGCTGCCATCAGAGAAGGTATTATAAATATCAGAATTTTTAAAAGGGGGTGGATTTAGCAGAGGTGCCTTGAAACTAAGTAAATTTTTTTGGTATCTGATGACTCTAATAAGGTTCTTTTGGTTTTTATTAAATTGTTTTAATGATACTTTTTTTTTTAAATTCCAAACTCAGAGGTCATAAAAAGTTATACTCAAATAAGTCTGACACCCATTTCTGGGCCCTTTACTCTGTTATTCCTGCTTCCATAGGTATTTTTATGATTTCTTATTTGTTCATTTAGTATGTCTTTGTGCAAATACAAATGAATATAAATACCTATATGCTCCTTCTTTTAATACAAAATATAGTATAGTAACCCAGTCACTCCTCCTACAATGATTGATGGTAAGCAGGCAAAGGACCATTCACAGATCAACTACAAAGTCACTTGAATTGATCTGTTTCCAGTTAAAAGGAAGTAAATCCCATAGCTGGAGGCCAACGTTATCCAAACTGAAATAACCTACCAGCTCCGCAATTCTGGCAATACTCTTGAGATAAAAGCAATTTAGCATCTGCTGGAGTCTTGCTCTCCAGGTTTATCCAAAGTGCAACAGAGAGACCTTTGGCTCCTACTGACTTCTTGAATAAAATAGTCATATTTTAAATGCCGTATAAGTATGTTTCATTTATGTTATATGTTACCCCAGGACATTATTAAGGTCTGATGGTGAATAGAGCGGCATACTAAATGCCATTTAAGATACTGGAATGTCAAAGAAAAATAGAATTTACTACTCACGGGTTCCAGAGAGGAAGCTGCAGTATTCCTCAGGGCCACGAAGAAACACCAGGTTTTGGGGAAGTAGAAGCAAGAGTGAGGAGAGAGTCCAGGCCATGGTCTTAATTGGGGTTTTCATGGGGAAAAGCAAGGCAGGATAGGGTGAATAGTTTTACGTTGGTTAGTGTGAATGACTTTAGTGGGCTTTGGGCTGTAGAATTGGTCTCTAGCTGCCTAGTACCTGCTTCTGAAATG